TAGGTGACGTGCTGCGCATGCCTAACCATCGCCTCCCCCGACGGCCATTACTAGCCGATATAGAGGTGCAGGTTGGAAAAGAGTAAGTGATAGCCAAACAAAAACATGTCATCAATCCATGAAATCATTGACAGTTAAACTGAGTCGGTCAGGTAGGGAGATGCAGACTTCCGGGTTGGGGCCCTCGAGACTCTAGGAATCAATGGCTGGAAACAATAGGTGACATGGCTCAAAATCATTGTCAGTGACGCAGATGTATTCAGTCTCTGTAATCTTTCATATTCCTTTCTACCATTACCCATTCTGTTTCACTCTTATACTTGTCAAACTCTGTTGATCCTCTTTACTCATCTTCTTGTCTACGTTTGTGTGGTATTTGGAACGTGGCAACTCTAACTGTTGCACTTCGGTGCCAAATTCTATGTTGAATCCAGACAGACAGACAATATTAGTAGGGCATAAGTTTCACGCTTTATATTGTCGCTATCACATAGAACACGGGTCAAACACGGTATCGTTGAAAGCTTGTACTTGGTAGTACGAGCATATAATCTTTTGTACTGATTTGTAGTTCTACCAGATGAGATACAAGGCGACAGTTGAAAATAGAGGGATTAGGTGTTGAGGGTCAGACAGCATAGATTTAGACCATTTGTCGCACGAGTTTAGATGTCTATCAACTAATGTAGAGACTTGCTGAGTAAGCTGCACACCACTTCCCCTGCCGACGACCTTTAATAATACCCTTCTCAAAGTGATATAGTCCTCTTTCAATAGACGATGAGAGACTAATGGGGAGCATTAAAGTATAATAGGTAAGATACACTAGTTAACAAATTTGAGATCGGAACTCCATTATAGATAAGATTTCATTTTGCTAAATCACACAGTGTTATACAGTAATATTAACTGATGGACCACCTTTCGAGCACAAACTATTGCTCATTATCATATCGAGTCACTCACACAACTTTTTTACTTCATTTATATACATAAGTGGAATGGATTAGATATTTGAATAAAAATCACACGTAGGTGAAGAGAGAGAGAGAGAGGTTGATTACTGAATCCTGCCTGGTTCATCGAGTCTACACACCCAACATATGCAACAGAAATGACTCAAAGCAAATACCAGAGATATGGAAGATATTATTACCACCAGTCAGTCAAATCAGAGGAGGATGATAAATAATCTCAAAATTCTATTTCATTCAATTCACGTACATCATAACATTCTAACAGGTTACTTATTTTGACCATAAAAACACTCGTCTTGTTTCCCATCTGATCGTACTTGATTGATAACACCAATATTACTTCTGAATGTACATTATCACTTACTGATTTTTATTCAAATGTCTAATCAATTCCACTCATGTATATAAATGAAGTAAAAAAAAGTTGTGTGAGTGACTTGATATGATTATGAGCAATAGTTTGTGCTCGAAGCATGGTCATCAGTTAATATTACTGTATAACACTGTGTGATTTATCAGAATGAAATCTTATCTATAATGGAGTTATACTTTTTTTTTATTACAGCTTGATTCTACATTGTATATTTGGTACAAGTATGGAATTTTCAGCATGGATTTCAGTAGCCCAAATTTTGCAGGCCGACCATAGATATCGGGTGTGTGTCGGCGTGGGCTCGAACCCCGGACCATGTGCAGTGTCGGCGAGTCCTAACCACTGTGCCACCAACGCACACACTTCACTACAATGCCCAAGTTTTGAGAGCAGTGGTTGAGTGATTCCAGATACTTTTAGCTTTTTAATGTAATACCTTAGACGGAAAAATGTTTTGTAGATCGATGAAATATGGGATGGCCAAGTGAGGTCATAGGAGATAGAACCATACCAATATATTTTGTGTTTGGTCTAGTTTCTATTACACAAACTACAATACATAGAGGATATACACTCATAAATTAATAATAAAAGCAATGATGTCTGAGATTTAGGATAGATTTAAATATACAGTGGTTACAGTTTTGACTATGGACAATAATTTTGCACTATTGTTGCCTATGGTTATCAAACTATTTACGTTATTTATACCCTATACATTATTACACCAACTGTGTGTGTTTTAAGAGGCGTGTGTATGCATAACGTTATGTAATGTCTTTTTATATAATTAATCTTTGTCACTTATGAATTTTTAAATTAGCTGTCCATTTTTAAAAGCAAATCACAAAACAAAAAGAATTCATAGTTTTATTTTCAGCTTCTACATAATAAGAGTGTTTAATACATTTAGATAAATGACTTTTAATGACTTCAGCAACAGTGTCACCTTTAAACGCCAAACTCATCAACAGTGTCTTCTTTGGTACTGTGATTTGGTTGGGGATAGTTTCCTTTTTTTGATGTTTCTGTCAATAAACCTTTTAGAATATCTTTTACTTAAGAGAGTCGTGCGAAGGTTTTCTAGTTCTATGTCGACTGTATCTATAGAGCAAATTTTCCGAATTCTGCAGTATAGAGAACGGATTAGATATCTCTTACCTGGAGCGATATACTGACAACACCTTCATTATTTGTAACGAGGATTGTTCAACTGCCGAAAATGTTTAATGGTTCTCACCCATTGATGTTTTACACTACCGAAGAAGAATCGAATTCCGCATTTCACTTCTTAGATTTAATGTTAGGTGGAAGAGAGGATTGCACGTAAAAAGAGTTGATTTATCGAAAACCAACATTTACAGGTCAGTACACTAACTTCAACAGTCTGGGTACCTCCAGTTAGGAAGAGACGTCTTATCCGTTCTCTATGCTTCAGAATTTAGAAAATTTGTCCTATAGATACGGTCGACATAGAACTAGAAAATCTTCGCACGACTCCCTTAAGTAAGAGATATCCTAAAAGGTTTATTGAGAGAAACATTGAAAATAGAAACCGTCCCCAACCAAAATCACAGTGCCAAAGAAGACACTATTTATGAGTTTGGCGTTCTACATAATACTTAAAGTTCTGTTTATCTGTATCTGATAGAATTTATTTACAGACAGCCGTTAGTGCTTAGCCTGTTTTTGTTTGCGATTCATTCCTGTAGAATCGATTAGAATGCATTATTTGTTTCCTGTTTCTATAGTCCTAAAGAACACAATAGAACAGACAATCAAACGTCTACTTCAATAGTAAATGCCGGTATTCGATTTATCTCTATTGGTTACATGATTCAAACAAAAATCTTGCCTAATTCATGTATTTATAAAATGGGTGTTTTCAATTTTTAAATACCCTAATAAAAAATTTGAAAGGTCTATGCGTTGTTTATGTTTGTAAACTACAAAGCATAGTTGCATTTCTCTCGACCAACTGTGTAATTAGAGCATTTTGTAACAGTTGAAGTAAGTAGAAGAAATAATTTGTGGAAACAATTCAATTATAACAGCAATTATTTGAATTATTGAGGCAAATAATTATGTCACATGAGAGTTATTATAATAAATTAATGATAATCAAAGTTAGTTGTTATCGTTTTACTTCCTTTGAACACGAAATTCTATTCCTATAAAATGCGAATAGTTTTAGTTAACTAGGCATAATGTGAGTGAACCGCAGTTTTGCAGTTTAGATTTCAGCCTTAACGGCTAAGGTTAAAATTGGGAATCGGGAAGCACTGTGCAGTTGTTTTGTCCTAGTTTGGAACTCTTCGTCAATTCACACCCATCACCCCACCAACGGTCGAACCTGGTACCTTCAGGTTGTGCTAGACAAAGGTCGTTGATCATTCATCCACCGGGGCTGTCAATTCGGGATATAGTACTATTGGGCAACCAATAGCTTTGTTGAGTATCCACTGGTCACGACAATTTCAGGATTTCTATCCAGTATCCATCAGTGAACTGGGGGATCGATATTTACATTATGAGTTGTTGTAGGGATTTGGATTAATTTTATTAGCTGCCTGCCTGTCTGTCTGAATTCAACATGGAAATTGGCACCGAAGTGCAACAGTTAGAGTTGCCACGTTCCAAATAGCACACAGAGGTAGACAAGAAGATGAGTAAAGAGGATCAACAGAGTTTGACAAGTATAAGAGTGAAACAGAATGGGTAATGGTAGAAAGGAATATGAAAGATTACAGAGACTGAATACTATATCTGCGCCATTGACAATGATTTTGAGCCATGTCACCTATTGTTTCCAGCCATTGATTCCTATAGTCCCGAAGGCCCGAACCCGGAAGTCTGCATCTCCCTACCTGACCGACTCAGTTTAACTGTCAATGATTTCATGGATTGATGACATGTTTTTGTTTGGTTATCACTTACTCTTTTCCAACCTGCACCTCTATATCAGCTAGTAATGGCCATCGGGGGAGGCGATGGTTAGGCATGCGCAGCACCTGACCTAGCCATCTCGTCGATTGATTTCCCCTCTTTGCCCAACACTCTACGCCTGACGTCAACATTACTTACCTTATTAAACCACCTAACGTGAGAAAGAGATCGCAGACATCTATGATCGAAAGCAGTCAACCTTTTCATGTCTTCAACTCGTATTGGCCATGTTTCAGAGCCATAGAGAAGAATGGAGCGAACTGCTGAGCCGTACACACGTCCCTTGGTTGATAGCTGGATGTCACGCCTACGCCAGAGATGGTGTAAGTCAGAGAAAGCAGCTCGAGCTTTTTGGTTCCGTGCTGAGATTTCGTCGCCAATCAGTCCGTTGGTGATGATACAACTTCCCAAATAGGTGAAGTGGTCAAAATTTTCTATCATAATTTTAATATAGATTTTGTTGACTCATAATTAGCTGGTTTGAATCAACTCTGATTGGTTGGAGCTGGTTTATTATCTGTTTTACTGTAGACTAATAGAGAACTATATATACGGCTATTATTCCTGATAGTTGGCTATTTTATGAGGTGATTTCTGTTTAACTCTTGATAAAACGTTCTTCTTCATAGCAAATGCGTGTGATGTCAGCTATTGATTCTTTGCTACATATTTATTGTCTTTTACTTTTAATTATTCATTTACAGAATATTTCATCATATGCATGGTCTAAATGCATCTGCATCATCTGTTCGACCAGCACATACCGAGGAGAAATGTAATCAAAGAAAAAATGAGAAAAAAGTGTCAAACTCAGTAGAATATAATCTACTACCATTAGATAATGAAGATTGGTTACCAGTACAAAATTCTTCATTCACTGATTTAGAAAATATATCAATGTCTCATACTACGGATTCCTATTCATTTTATGGTTGTATGCTTAGTAATGCACCACCTGTACATGCTCCATGTTTAGAAACTTATGATGATAATGGTGTTGGCGGGGGTGGTGGTGGTGTTGATGGTGATGAGGAGGAAGAAGAAGAAGATGAACGTCGACGACTCGACAGATTGCCTAATTCAACTGTTGGCTTAAATGCTTATAATGTAGAATTAAGAAAATGTGCCAATTCCAAATTATTGAATAATCATAGAAATTCAGTGGCGAATTGTGAAGGCAATTTTTATAATTCAGATAGTAAGTCTTTTCTTGATTAATTATCCTAATGTTGTCATTACACGGTACAGTTCACTTCTATCATTCCGCCCCCCCCCACCCGCCCCTATCCCCGCGATCTCAGTTATCGGTTTGTACAGATTTTATTTAGTTTTTATGTGATAGAGCTATTCGATAATGATAATGATAATAGCTTTATTCCAAAACAGTACTTGCGATACAGAATGGAATTCTCAGCATTTTACTACAGTATTGCATCCCGTTAGTAAATTGACAATAAAATAAAATTCTGCATAGATTAAGGGTAATCTCAGTTAGTTTTGACAGCAACATATTAGCATGTCGGTAGCGAAGCCAAAATTAAACAGTGTTTGAAGGTGCTAGAAAAGTAGGTGCTAGCATATTTTCTGGCGTAGGCAGAAGAAAGAAACAAAGCTGCACACAACAGAAAAGAAAGAGAGAGAAAAGGAAAAGGAAGACCACCATATATATATATATATATATATATGGTGGTCTCTCTTTCTGTTGCTCTCTCAGTCTGTGACCATTTCACTTTGATGAACCTGTCTCCTTTAACAATGTATATTCCCCTTATATTATATATAATGTGTGTTTGTTGACTTGTCTGCTATATTTTGCTATGTATATATGGACCGATACTCCATTATAATTAGCCAATCATGTTAAGGCCTCCAAAGCCTCAGGATGGTCGGGGGTGGGTGCCTTGCGCTGCGGGTTGGCCACCCCTCCGCACACCTCTTGAAATGCTCCCATATGACCGGGCGTCTTACATAGCCTCTCCTGAGGAAGTCCTACTCACTGCCTTCACGTGGCGGAGGTGTTTCTCACCAAAGTAAGAGGGCGAAAGCGGATGCCCGGCGCTCTCCACCGGGTTGACTGTCCATTGGATGACGGTCTAGGGGAGATGGCTAAACCCTGATTCCAAACCTCCAACGACTGGCGTATGAAGCTCACTGGAGCTCACCGGCAGACGTATGGACAAAGGGCTTATTGGATGTCCTGGATGTCTGGCCCCATTCAAAAAGGCGTATGAACCGAACTCCGGTCACCGGCTGCCAATGGATAGTGGACTCCTTACTCCACTCCTACTGCCTTGTAGGTCACACTTGGTTGTGTAAAGTCTAGAGCTGCACTCTCAAACAAAAGGCCGAGGGATGCTGGGGACATCACTCGTACCAAATTCCCATGAAACTTCATGAACTGTCTTACAAATTGCCGCGCCTGGGCAGCGATGATTCGAGACGTCCATGAAGCCGGCTCATCCTCCCGTAGGAGATAGCCGAAGTAAAAAAAGTAAAGTAAGTAATCATGTTAAGACTGTCTATTGATTGTTCACACACTTGTTCGGACATTCATATATATTTTTGCTCTCACACTCTTGTGTGACTTTGATTCTCCTTGTGTTTGGAAAATAGAAGTATCATCGCAAACCTAGTGGTCTTCTGATTTCCGTCTTTCTTGCGTCAGGACTATTAAATTCTCGACCAGTACATAACAATAATTTGGCGACGAGTACATAATACTTTCTTTATCTCACAGAACACGAGCTAAGTAGGGTATGGTTCAGTTTTTGTACTTACTAGTGCGAGCATATAGTTTTCTATATAGGCTTCTGGTTTTGCCTGAAGAGATACAAGGGAAGAGCTGTGAATAAAAAGGGTGTTGTGAGTTAGATAAAATGGATCTAGCCCATTTTTCACATGAGTCCATGTGCCTGTCAACCAGAATATTAACAAGCTGGTTAAGTGGCACGTAGCTTACCCTGCTGACAACCTTTAACATCATGCGTAATAAGATATAGTCTTTCTTCAGTAGCCAGCCCTGGAAAAACTAAGGGGAAACAATAGAGAATAATAGGCAGAATACGGGAGTTAACGAATTGTAGGAGTAAGGGTTTGGTTATATCAGAATGTCTTAACTTCTTGATGTAGAAGGTAAGACAGAATATTTTCTTAGAAATCATCAAGATATGAGACGACCGGGAAAGATCAGCAGATAGAATGACGCCTAGGTATTTAATTTCTGACTTGGTTTCTATTTCAGTGCCATCAATGTCGCACACCTTGTGAGTGCTAACCAGTTTGTTTAGGTTATATTTGAGCCTAAAGGTGAAATTAACTGTTTGGCATTTGGAGGAGTTTAAGGTGAGACCGTTTTCCTTGGACCATTGGCTGACTTCTGATAAAAAGCCGTTTAGTTTAGTGCAGTCACTTTGACATTTGACAGGCAAAGGTACAGTTAGGTCGTCAGCATATTCGACAAAATTAATGTCATTTGAAGATGGTAGGTCATGTAGAAAGAAAGAAAAGAGAAGTGGGGAGAGCACAGCACCTTAGGGGACACCAATTTCAGTGAGCACAGCAGAGGAGGATTTGCCTTTGTATAGGGTGTACTGCATTCTGTTTGCAAAGCAGGAATGCAACCAGTGGTGACACAGGACTCAGTTTGTGTCATGGAGAGCATATTTAGCAAGCGACATCTAGGTACAGAGTCGAAAGCAGAGGTGAAATCGAGAAACGTGCAGCGGACGTATTTGGCACCTTTATCTAATGATGAGACGATACTGTTGTGCAAGACGGCTGCAGCGTCTAAAGTACTTCTACCCTGTCTATAGGCAAATTGTTTGGGGTCTTCAAAGCTCTTAAGGGAGGGTTCGGGTTTAAGAAGTACTAGTTTTTCCATAAGCTATAGAAACGAGGAAGTGATGGCAATTAAACAGCACCCCCTAATGTCTGAATGTACAATGTTCGACCACTAAGACCATTCAGTTCTCTGTCTGTCTGTTCTCGGCATAGAACTTTGCACTGATGTGCGGGAGTTCAATTCGCCACACTCCATGTAGCACACAAATCAAGAGAAGAAAGTACAAGAAAAGCATAATAGAGACAGTAAGCAGAGGTGTGAGACAAAGGAAGAGTAATAACGAAGAACAAAACAGTTCTCTAGGTGTCTTGGTTATGTGTCATAAAACTAAGGCATTATCTTGCTCAGTTTGTTATGTTAATTGCCATAGAATTTAGTTTATGAATATGTTCATATAGCCAGACTAAAGCATCCTAGGAATTCGTGGTGTTCTTAGCCGTTCAACAGATTATTAGCTTACGGTTTTGTTGCAGTATACAAGTTCAAGTTAAATAGTTATTTGAAAACTGATTTCCGTGGTAAAAATTTAATTATAGATTATCACATTATTATGTCAATATTCCATCAACATGGTAATTTGAATTGGAAACGTGTTTATTTCCTGATATGAATTTAAAACAAGCAACAAAAGTTACTAAAGCAGAATTTAATGAATTCATTGTTGCTTGTTTTAAATGCTAATTTGGGTTATATTATACAAGACCTTGTAACATTCATATTTATGTCTTTAAGATTGTATTTGTTAAATAATCATGAATCAACAGTCCTTTTATGTGTTTTAGGCTAATTTTAAGTTTCCCATTGACTGATTATGTTGAACCGAAATGCTTGATATCTCTGTTAACACGTGCAGTTTTTTTTCTTGCTTGTGGTTGATAGAGAGACACCATGGAAACTCGAATCCTGCACCCATCCTTTCAAATATCAAAGCATTAATCTACCAGGCCACGATGGTCACCTCTTGTGCAACAAGTATCAGTTATTATTTATTTAAGCCTATTTCGCACTTCCTGTTCGGAATGATCAGATTGATGATACATCCAGGTGACGAGTTTCAACCGGGACGAAATGTTTATTCTGGATTCTACTGCTAGCTAGTCACCACGTGGTTGAGATTTTGTCAATAACCAATCCATTAAGGTTAATGCAAATAAGTGAAGCGGCCAACATACTGTATCACTTCACTTCCCATCTTTAAGATAGGAATCGGTCCAGTTCAGTCCAGTCATGCAGCATCATCTTATATCTGATAGGAGCGTATCGCATGGCAAACATTCGAAGATTTTCTTTTGCTCAAGATGCCCAGAAGACTGTATTTTCCAAATGCGTTGAGCGCCATCAACCAAAATAATCTTTTTATTTACTAAGTCAACAGATACGACTGCTACGTAGGGTTGGATAATATTCTCCTGTTGACGTATAATTTAATTTTCACATATTTTTACGAGTTAATCACAGATTGATATCAGTTAGAGAACCATTGAAAACCAGGGAGTACTGGACAGCTGCTGTTTCATCCTAGTTTGAGAATCATCGGAAGTACGCACCCACTGGGATTCGAACCCAGGACCTTCCGGTTACAAGGAAAGCTTGTATACCATTCAGCCACTCGGACCCGATTCAATGACCACTACATGAATTATAACTTCTACTAATTCGTGATTTAGCGCGACCCCAACCATTGTCGTTGGTGGGACATCCATCCACACACGTGACATCTAATTGGACCTCACTGGTCACGACTTCTCACTAGAACTCAGGAAACTCCAAACCCTTACAAACCAAACTATAGAAAAGTTCACATATTTATTTAGTCAAAAATGTGTTGTACCGTTAAATCTTATTTAACGGACTTACTCTGAGACCTGATATATGAACCGTTGTATAGAATGTTGAATTCCACTTCCTGAGTTATTCTAGTCAATTAAATAATTCCCCTATATATTATTTCATTTCAATATCTTTTCAATTCCTTTATAGCTTATACCTACCAATCATTAACAATGTTGCCCCCTCCTCCTGGACCAGAAGAAAGTGAAACTGTATTTACCGAAGTTAAAAGCAATGAAGTATTTACAGATCTTATTCAACTTACAAAACCTAGAAATTCATCTCTACGTATGCCGAGTAGTGAGAATAATCATACGAGATTTGAATCTGATTCAAAAATTCATGAAAAAACTGAAAACTCTATGCCTCCTCCATCGTCAGCATCATCATCATTATCATCAACTTCAGAGGCAACAATTCATTCAAAACAATCATTTTCATTAGATAATTTATTAGACGAGATCAATTCTGTTGGTAATGATGATACTAAATGTCAACCATCAGCTCCACCATTGATTGATTTATACAGCCGTGTACCAGATCCACTTGTATTTACGCCTAGATATCGTATAACAGTAAGTTTCAATTCATAATCTTATCTTAATTTTATTTTTATTTATTTATTTTTCTTTAAATTTATTTTTATTGTAGCTTGACTCCATACAGTATTTTTGATACAAGTATAGAATTTCCAGCATGTGATATCGGTAGTCCAAATTTAACAGGTCGACCATTGGTATCAGGTGTGTGTCGGCCGGGGTCTGTCCGTCTATTTTCGACATAGAACTTTGCACAAATGTGCGGCAGGGGATCGAACTGCGGACCATGCGTTTGGTCGGTGAACGTCCTAACCTCTGTGCCATCGATGCAGTTACTTTAACTCCTTGATTTAGTGTTTGAATATGTGTAGATGTGCTGTCAATGACTTATTCGATTTTCAGCCATTGAATTCCGAATTCAAATCGTGATCCATTTATTTTAGTTTGGGCAACTTAGTGGCATCAGATGGCACCAGTAAGTATCAACGGACAAATGACCTTGGATGCACCAATCATATGATAAAGGATATTTTGACCTATAAAATGCATGTGTTCATGAAAATAATGAATTGAATGGCATGAAATTGTTACACAGGATACCTTTCTCTGTTTTATGACAGAAATGCCTCTCAGTTCTGGGTTAGAGCGTCAACAGAGTAGTTTAATCACATTCTATACATGTACTGGTCTACGTCTTCTAACCCTAACCCTAACAATAACCATAATCTTTCCTTGACCTAAACTTAACTTGAAAATATCCCTAAACTAACCTTAATTTAACTCAAACCAGCCCTAATATTTCCCTTATTAGGTTAAACTAACCCTAACATGTCCTTAGCCTAAACCTTTCCGAAACCTAACCTGGAACTTACCTGATGTCTTGTTTAATATTACAACACTTTATTAAGCATATTTTACTCATAATTAAAGTATTATTTACCAGGTTTTACTCACTTGCTCAGTGAATGTTTCAAGTTCATTGGTGCATCAAACTCCATTGGTACTTACTGGTCCCTAAAGTCTAAATTGGCCCATCAGCCTTCACAGTGGTGGCACAGTGGTTAGGACTGTCGCCAACCATGCACATGGTCCGGGGTTCGAGCCCACGCCGGCGCACACCTGATATCTATGGTCGGCCTGCATAATTTGGGCTACCGATATCCATGCTGAAAATTCCATACTTGTACCAAAAATACAGTGTGGAATCAAGCTGTAAATCAAAAATAAAAATAAACATAACAGATGAGACTCTTGGTCATGGGAAAGATAAATTGATCATACGTTGAGGGTTAGCGGGCAGGGCCCTCAACTGAAACACGAATGGAAAACGGCTAGTTGGCGACATGGAGATAATCGTATGATGAGGAAATGAAAGCTTATATACAATCGTGGAGCCGGTCAAGGAGAATTGCAGTGGATATGATAAAATAGAGATGTACTGTTGAAGCCATATTTTCCATTTGGTAGCCAAGAGAATAATATTAATGGTGTTACGATATTAATAATAATAGGAATTAAAATGTATCAAAAGCCGTCATGTATTTACTGTGGTTCGTAGTCTGTTAAGTAAAATATCTTCACGAGGTAACTGAGCTGCATTATTGTATTGTATTTTCGATTAGTGTTCTGACAATCCAAAGTAGCACTTCTCATAACTATGTAGAAAACCCTCTTTCTCGGGGATTAGACTGACACCTGAAAGACTAATTGACGCGCTGAAGTGAAAGTCATTCCTGTACAGAAACTTATAAAAAATAATCTGACTTCAAATTAGTTTATTTACCATTATTTACTGGTCCAGTGGGGCAAATGAAGTTTACTGTTCAATTTAATGATTGTTAAGTTGTTGACTTGCATTTTATTCATTTTATACTTTCTGTTTTGTTCTTCTCCTAATCTACATCTTTAGGTACCAACTGCTCCAATTTATACACCATCGGTAATGAAACCTACTCATCCTTATTATTCTGGTGTTTTTCCTCGTGCAACTGCCCCTGTATATTCATCCAACCCTTTTTTAGTAATGAACTCTAATATTTCAACACAATTTGCATGTTTTACTCAAGGACAATATTTTCCTAATCCTTTCTATCATCAACAAGGTTATCCACAAAAATCATATGGTACAGCTGATCCATTCTCTTCTTCAACAAAATTCAATATGAATCAGTCAGTAACACAAATGACGTCTGGATCTAGTGGTGATAATCCGTTTGATTTAAATAATCTAAAGTCTAAACCCCATTCATCATCAACTGATGAAATTGGTACGGTAAAAAAGCAGAATAACAATGATCCATTGAATATTTTTGACTTTACATTCGATACAATCAATAATGATAATAATAATAATAAAAATCCTAATAAAAATGATGTAGCTACAACAAGTTGTAATGATAAACAATCTGTTGTAGTTTCATGTGCGAAACCTACTGTCGGTAATTCTATATTCTCAAGTAAACAGCCAGTCCATCCTCCAACTAGATTAGAAAATGAACTACTTGTTCGATCGTGTAAGTTTCTGCTTTCGTCTAAAACTCAATAATATTAATTTGTTATGTTTTACACCTGGTAATGCTGAAGAAAGTAAATTCATTCGATTCCACCCACCCCCATGTGAGACTGCTTATTTATACGACTCCATTTCGAATCTCTGAGGAGGGAAGACACCAATTCTTTTGAGATTGCAGATACACCTTGGGGATGAAAGTCACTAACCAGGGAACTTAGGTCCAGTGTTTCCTACTGATCGTTCTCAGTCATTTAACATCCATCAAAATACACTAGTGAATATATGGCTCATTCACTTGGGCATTCCTTTTTCAGTTGATGTGTCACAGGTTCGAGTCCCGCCTCACCTACTTCAGTCTAAGTAACTCTGTAGAACCACCATCCTTCCCATGATAAGTGTGGCTTATAGCCTGGTACATGCAAAATCCATTCCCTAGTAATTGAGTATAAACCAACGAAAGTCAAAACTGACCAAGTGTCCTGTCTACGTGCTGAAATTTCTTTAGTCACTGGCCCAGCAGGTCTCATATGACTCTGCGGATAACTGAAGTGGTTGACGCGCCCAACCATAATTCATACTCTATGTTAACATACGTCAGATCATGAGTATGGCAGGTGGAGAGCGCATTGTAAATGTTTTAGGATTTTCAATTTAAGATTTGATACTATTTGTTGATATTTTCATTAAATGCGATTGTTTTATTGAGCACTCTTAATAATATACAGCTTATCGGTATTTCGAGTTCATGAACTTTTGTCACCTGAGATGATGTAGGTACATGTTCTACATACATGATAGGTAAAAATGACTCAAAATCTATTACAAAAGCACAAGTACATTATTTCCACCCTCTTCTCCGTCCATAAATCTTTTGTTTCGTTATTTTTTAAGCTTTTTATGATTTTACTAGTTTTATGATTTACTAACATCATGTTTTTGCATACCTTTAGATATTCCTTCTTATTTGCTTTTTTTCTCTCGTTGTTTTGATATATGCTTATTTTAGACAAATATGTAATTGTGTGTGTCAAATTGTACTTTATTGATTTCTCTTTATTAAACAGATTCTGACAACTACAAAATAAAAAAACATATAATGTTGCATAAAACACTAAAACATTAACTTATTCAGTTTATAGTTGTCCACGCTGAGTGTAGGTTTGGTTAATTCTTGTTTACCATCATTTTGATTCAATTATTAGCATTAAAATGGTAAAATATTATTGTTTTTTGGCTTTTCACTTAATCATTGGGAAGTACAAGTTTCTAATAGTGATGTATGCATCTAATACCATCTAATCAATGTGCACCGTGATGGCGAGCTACCTAGAATGGTGGCCACATTACAACCTGACTGATAGAATTCAGTCTGCACCAATCAGAGGACTAGGTGCATCACACTAGTTACTAGTGTCAAATCAAAATATCCACTACAGTCCTACAGGAGGTCAATCGCGAGCCCGAATAGTTCAGTGGTAACGTCTCTGACTGCAGTACTCACTGGGTGATGCGGGTTCGAATCTCAGAAGGGACATGAGTTCCCTCAATGTTGCAGATACGCCTTGATGACTGGTGAGTGCCGGTTAGCACGAGACCTAGGTTCCAAGGCTTCCTGTGGCCGATTGCCTCCAACCATCTAATACCATCTAAGTAATGTATGCAGTTATGCTGACCACGCACGTGTTCTGAAGTTTGATCCCCGGCTGGTATACACTTCCAAACCTCGCATAGCCAGTAGTAAGTCCGGTGAAGAGGGAAGATAGGGTACAAGGCTTGCAATGTGACCCCATAAAAGCAATATCACTGCTACTAAAACTGTAAAGCTCTTGTCTGAAATCCTACATTCCATTCGGAATGTAAAGGAATTCAGTGATGATGACGTGGTGAGAGCTGGTTGCAAGCCGAAAATTGTAGACTAAAATTTACGTCATTGTTTACGTCCCGAATCGGGGTCATGAGTTAAACAATAACAAAGCTTAACCTTGAGGAACTTAACAACCAATCACTGCAAATGCGATTTGCTAATATATGGTCTAACTTTCTGAGAAACGATCACAAGCAGTACAAATAATTCAGAAGACGTTGCTTCTGCACTGACAATAATGTACGTAACAATCTATAAATATCTTTTGATTTTCTCAATAAACGATCTGTCGCCTGGCCCTTGTCGTCTGTTGTTTCAATGATAATAATTCTAAATAATAACAGTCATTCCAATATATTATTTGTATTACTTCTTAGTAGGGTTGATGTTAATCGCTTTACCAGTGTGGTGGTGTGTGATACAAACAAGGTACGCTCAACCGAATATTATTCTCACATATAAGTATAAAACTTGGGCACTGTGGTAGAGTATAACTCCATTATGGATAAGATTTTATTTTGATAAATCACACAGTGTTGTACAGTAATATTAACTGCACTATATATATATACAGCAGTTTGATCACTTGAAAATATACGCTGGCTTCCGTGTCTTGTCTTCTGCTGTTACACCAGTATATCCCTTTAGACTTTTTCTTCTCATTTACTTTTAGCAGTCGATTTGAAAATAAAAATGTGATCTAATTTCCTAAAAATTAAACGTACTACTTGTCAACATATTATATTCAATAATTATAACTTTAATACCAATGAGATGCACACTGGCAACTGGCCCTATTCAGGTAGGTAGTTCCCTGGGTTCCAGTTGGAAGTCGTGACCAGTAGGGTGCAGCGAGTCGGGTGTGAAGAAATATACTTGCCGAAGACATTGGCTAGCAGTCGCGCTATGTCGTGAATTGGCGGAGGTTAGAATTCATGGACTGGCTGACCATTGGATCGGGCCCCAGTGGCTTAATGGTATACGAGCTCGCTCGCCTTGTAACCAGAAGGTCCTCGGGTTGGAACCCTGGCGGTGGGTGCGTACTGTTGAAGAGCCCCAAACTAGGACGAAACAGCTGTCCAGTACTCCCAGCTGGTTTTCCAATGGTTCTCTAACTAACGTCAGCTCATGATGAAATCCTGAAACTAATCAAATCCCTACAAACCAACGCTTGAATTATAATAATATTTTTAATGCCATCTGCATTCTAGGTCAACTTAACTTCTGCTAAACTAATTCACATCTCTGCTTTTTAATCGTGTACATTAATTTCCGTCTGCAACTAATATTATAATTTAAGACGTACAAACTATTTTGAGTATTTTCTTTTTCAAAAATAATTACTTATAAAAAGAATTTAACAATTAGAATTAGAATCATAATGGTTGTTTCAGATTCTTAGCATTCATATCCTCTTTGTTTTATGCTTTTAAATGGGTAAGCAAATGAAAAACTCAGACTGTTGAAGTTGCTGTTTGTACAGTCTGATGTTTTTGTAGGTATGTGTAGGGGTGAATGTAATTTGAATACCTTTTAAAATTGAGCGAAATGTTTTCAGTTAGACCAAAAGTTATGTTATTCTTGAAAGTACTTTATTTTATTGAAATCAAGCCAAATAATCTTCCTTTGAAGGTAGATCTCGTCATGAACAGACCTTAGAAACAATAGATTACTCGGTAGATTTGTCTTCCTAGTTTGAAACTCTGATGGGGTTTTAGGTGGTGCTCGAATTGATGTGTGTTCTTCACGTAATCCACGTTGAAATCAATCAAACCTATACTCTTCAATAATGGACAAAATTTATTTCATCTAAAATTGAAGATGGACAGAAAGACCGAAGTGCTTATATGGCTTTGTATTAAATATTGTTATTTTTTAAATTTATAGCAGTAATAATAATATTACTCAAACTCCGTATTTATTCATTACTTAATGGACTGGTTGACTAACTTGTGTACGTGAAAGTCCATTCCAGCCTAATCCTATTTTGGCTAAGGTTGCTCGGTGAGAAAGGTGATGTCTCGGTAAATGTCGTACGTACCTGAGACAGCTCATTCAACAACCTTATCGATTGATTTTGACTCCAGACTCAAACCCACACAGGAGACTGATCAGTAGCACATGTGACACAGATTTGTAATATTTTCATGTCTGTCAATATTAACGGCCATGCCTTAGAGTCGTGAAGTATGATGAGATGAGCTGCTGTAGAGTACATACGTGCATTAATAGATAGAAAGATATCACTCTTGCCCTAAGGGGGATGTAAGTTGGTCTTTTTGTAACTATGCTGCGATTTCGTCAACAGTCAGTCCATTAAGGTTAATGCAAGTGTTGTTTGCCGTCTTATTTTCAAGATGAATATCAATGTATGTCATTCTGATTTATGTATCCCAGATTCTAATATGCTAGTTATGAACCTATTTAATCTAATCATTAGTTCATTAGCTTCATCTGTAGTCAAACTATGACATGTGCGTTGGCGGCATAATGGTTAGGACTCTCGCCGACTATGCCCCGCCGACCCACACCTGATATCAATGGTCGGTCTGCGAAATTTGGGCTACCGATATCGTATGCTGAAATTGCCATACTTGTATGAAAAATACTGTGTGGAATCAAGCTGTAATCAAAATATTAAAAAAATTTGATTCTGTGCATGAAAGCCACACAAAGGCTTATACTAACTTTTGGCTGCCGGTGTTCACCACTGTTTCTACAACGAATTAAATGTGGTGACAGCTTTCTCGAAGATTGATATTCTTTTCACATTCAGATGCGTATTTGGCTATCCTTCTCCAAAAGAACAGACCATAAGTTTTCATGAAACAGCTAGATATATCACTACTCCGTCTACAAGATTATAAAAAAACTTGTCTTAAAATGTTGCCTTCCAGACTCTTTTCCACATAAGTAGAAAAACTCGGGTAATGTTTAGATTAGAAACTTTTTTTCGCCCTAATGTTTACCTTGGCTTTAGTGAATAGCTTTTAGAGTCAAATTTCCCTCTCTCTCTCTCCTTGTCTTTCAATCGTTACGGTATTTAATATTAACAGTCAAAGATTGCATTCATCCTCTCCCTTCGCCTTAGTTTTTCTTGCTCACACATTTTGAAAACTAATCACTATTTAGTATTCAAGTTCACATTCAGAACTTTTCATTCTCTTAATTTCTATTCTGCTCTACTTTTTAAATTAATTTCTACCTGTCATCATACCTGTGGTTTTCTCATAACATTTTAAGTAATTATAATCTTTAATTAATCTCATTGTTGGTACTAAGTTTACTCACTAACCGCTTTAGTGATTATTTTGTTAAGTACAATTAACTACTGCAAGTCTAATTAAATACTACTTGCAACTATAGATTATTGTAGATTGAAATCTATTGAGCGGCTATTGCACATGGATAGAAAATGAAATCTAAACTCTGAGTCTGATTGAATAACCACTATACCACAGTTTCCGAGTTTCTTCTACCATAGAAAGTAATCCAAAACGATACATCTGTGTACATTCTGCTATCTTATACCTTTTTTTCTACCCTATGTAATGCTTTTATATCATATTGTTATTTTCTCTAATGTTCCGAGTAGACCATAGGAGTACAACAGAACATTTCTATTTATTTCCTTTGTAGCTGGCTCCACGATTGTCTTAAGCTCCCATTTCCTCACACAATCTCCATGTCACTGTCGGACGCTTGATGAGTTGCTTCCTATCTGGGTTTCACACGACAGCCTGGTAGATGGTATCACTAAACGATCTCAGTATGTATCCAATCCAACTCCATTTCTTTCTGCATATTTGTTGTGTAATAGGGTTCTTTGGTGGTCCCTCCCCGGAGTTGCAGATCCTTCCTGGTTATCTTATCTTCAGCATGGTGCCAGCTAAGGTAGCTGTCGATATAAGTTTGAAGCTTGTTGGTAATGCTTTTTTGTCGCGCCAAGCATCTGAAACAATATAGAAGCACTGATCTGACAGTGTTGAAAATCCAGATCTTGGTCCTTATGCTTAGTTCAGTAGATTTGAACACTAATTTCAGAATAGTGAAGGTTTGTCTTGCATTTTTGATCCTGCTTTCAAAATCATCATCGATTTTGCTTGCAGTCGAAACATTACTGCCTAGATAGGCGGAAGAAGTGACTTCCTCTCACTGATAGCGATTGGTGCTTTTTGTTGCAGGTTAGGTTTTTTCATTGGTTCTATCTTCTCCATGTTCACCTGAAGTCCTGTCTTCACGGCGAGCCTCATCTGCCAACTTGTTGTTGGTTTTCACCTGTGAATCTTCTACTTTGTTTGACATTAGAAGATTCTGACTTCGTGGATGATTTATGTCTAGAGTCTTATCACCGGCCTGACGTATTCCTGTCTTCTTGCTCCCTAAGGTTTGCCCGTATAATTCTGTCCACCATAATCGAGAGTGTCTTCGTTTATAGCAGACCGTTTTTTGTTTGACTCCTCTCTCCGCCTCAGATAGAGGCTTTGATTTTATAGCATATCTCACTGATATTGTCGTCATTTCATATTCAAATATTAAAAGTAATATTATCTTATTCCTATTCACCTTTTTTTTCTTCTTAAGGTTCTGGTACAAACTTCTCATCTTCATCATCATCAATGGCGACAATTTCAGATCCATGCTCCATTGATCTGTCGAGAACAAAAGCTCAGCCTGTCAATGTAAGTATTTGATATCTCAGAATACCTATATTCCTGTATGGAAATGTCTTATTCTCCATTATAAACATTAATAATGGTGATAATAACTAAAATACATTACAGTTATGTGCAACTTTATAATCTTTATGTAAAATAGTTTCTTTTACTATTATCTATAAAATTAATTAGTGAACTAACTACCTTCCTTTGTCAAAAAAATAATCCACAACTTATTTCGTTCATCGTAAGTAAGTAAATAAACCTTGTAAAAGTTGTAATTCTACGGATTTCTATTTCTATTGTATTTTTATTCAACTTAACCCTAGTTGAATTTACATGCCGTTCGTCAGTTGAGTTAGTTGTGAATTAATTGCTCATTATACCAATTTGATTTATTCGCTTCTAGTTAAAATAGACATTCTGACTGATTATTTAAATACCATTTTTATTTTTTTGCTTTTTAAAAGAATGGTTTATTTTAGTAACTGACGATTATGATGAAGTGAAGAATTGTGTCGTGAAAAAGATTCGAATCAGAAGCCATCGGGATTACTAGCGTATCTGTCTAATTCATTACATTTTAGATGTGTTTTACAGAAAGACTTAAACCGTGGAATTTAGTGCCTGATATTAACATGCGTCAGTATAGTGTATGTGTACTGTCCCATCCATGAGATAAAAACTTGCATTATCCTGCGTCACAGTCATAGACCGGATTGGTATACTGGATGCCTCTAATTAAAATCGTACTCTCCGATTACATTAATAGAAAAGCATAAAAAGAAATTCAAAGGAACTGTAACTTACTTACTTTACTTTCGGCTATCTCCTACGGGAGGATGAGCCGGCTTCATGAACCGTGAAGTTTCATGGGAATTGGGTACGAGTGATGTCCCCAGCATCGCTCGGCCTTTGTTTGAGAGTGCAGCTCTAGCCTTTACACAACCAAGTGTGACCTACAAGGCAGTAGGAGTGGAGTAGGGAGTCCACTATCCATTGGCAGCCGGTGACCGGAGTCCAGTTCGTACGCCTTTTTGAATGGGGCCAGACATCCAGGGCATCCAATAAGCCCTTTGTCCATACGTCTGCCGGTGAGCTTCATACGCCAGTCGTTGGAGGTTTGGAATCAGGGTTTAGCCATCTCCCCTAGACTGTCATCCAATGGACAGTCAACCCGGTAAAGAGCGCCGGGCATCCGCTTTTGCCCTCTCACTTCGGTGAAAAACACCTCCGCCACGTGAAGGCAGTGAGTAGGACTTCCTCAGGAGAGGCTATGTAAGACGTCCGGTCATATGGGAGCATTTCAAGAGGTGTACGGAGGGGTGGCCAACCCGCAGCGCAAGACACCCACCCCCGACCATCTTGAGGCTTTGGAGGCAAAGGAACTGTAAGGAGCAGAAATGTATGAAAGAAAGATTAGTTAAATGGAAAAACATGATGGGCAAATTTATCTTGAAGATGATCACAAAGTGAATGCATTTGTGTCATTGAGAACGATTTTGAGCCGTATTACCAATAGTTTCCATCAACTGGTTCTTAGAATCCCGTGGACCCTAACTAGAGAGTCTGCACCTCCGCATGTAACTGTCTCAACACAGTAATCAAAGACTTAATAGATTTAGATTGTTGGAGGCAATCGGCCACAGGAAGCCTTGGACCTAGGTTTCGTGCTAACCGGCACTCACCAGTCATCAAGGCGTATCTGCAACATTGAGGGAACTCATGTCCCTTCTGAGATTCGAACCCGCATCACCCAGTGAGTACTGCAGTCAGAGACGTTACCACTGAACTATTCGGGCTTGCGATTGACCTCCTGTAGGACTGTAGTGGATATTTTGATTTGACACTAGTAACTAGTGTGATGCGCCTAGTCCTCTGATTGGTGCAGACTGAATTCTATCAGTCAGGTTGTAATGTGGCCACTATTCTAGCTAGCTCGCCATCACGGTGCACATTGATTTGATGGTATTAGATGGTTGGAGGCAATCGGCAGGACGAAACCTAGGTCCAAGGTCTCCTGTGGCTGATTGCCTCCAACCATCTAATACCATCAAATCAATGTGCACCGTGATGGCGAGCTACCTAGAATGGTGGCCACATTACAAACTGACTGATAGAATTCAGTCTGCACCAATCAGAGGACTAGACACATCACACTAGTTACTAATGTCAAATCAAAAACACTTTGTAGATTTGTTTTTTGATTTTGGTTTGACCACTTCTAATTCTTTTCCAACCTAACCACACACCCCTATGTCAGCTAGTAGTATTACTCGCCAAGGAAGGCAATGGCTCAGCATGCGGAATATGTGTCCTGGCCATTTCAATCGATGTGGCCTCACAATCTCATCGTACTTAAACACCGTACGTCTAACGTGAAATTCACTGACTATAGTAGACTACTTAACACAGGAGATAGAACACAAAGACAACACTCTCTCAGTTGAAAACTGTCTCACTTAGTTTTCCTATGAATATATTTCTTCAGGCTTACATGTCGTTCATACAATATAATAATAGAAATGTTCTTAGACACACATACTTTCTGTCTTTCTCTTCTCTTTTTAATTGTCTTCTTCTAACATCTTATCGTCTAGTCGTGACTATTATATCACATTAGATGATGGTAAACTGTCCCTACTCGATAGCGATTTCGTTATATATTTCATAAAAACATTTTTTTTGTATGTAATTAACAAGACGAAACAAATTTTTAGTAAAGAAAGTTAATTAATTAACTATCAATATGAAATACAGACTTCAAAATGTGTGTGTAGACCTGTGCTGTGCATTAAAACTTCATTTTTATTTTTGTAAATTTTTCATTCCACCCACCTCATTCATTCATTGTATTTGTTTATTTCTTTGTAAAGTGAAAAGAAAAACAAAGGTAAATTTTTAGCAGAGGGATACTTAAAAAGGCGTTAAGCATTTTCACTTATCACTTCATATTATCATAGGCAATTTTCTTTTATACCAATCGAGTGACTTCCGAACTGGAATCGAATAATAAACTCGGTTTTCTGGATATTACTATGACTAGAAGAGGATGATAGAACGATTCAGCGCTCTATTTTTCGTAAACAGACATGGAGTGGACAATATCTTCATTTTCTATAGTTTGGTTTGTAAGGATTAGTTATGTTTTACTACTTTTGTTCCTATCCAGTATAAACGTTCCCTAGTGAAATGTTTGTTCTCAAGGGCTTGAAAAATATGCACGAGTGACACATTGATGGATGAGCTTCGACGTATACATTCAGTTTTATTAGCTAATGGTTATCCAGAGAACTTTATCACTTATCAAAGTAAAGAAAGACCACATCTCGAAAAGACAGCTTCTGTACCAAAGAAAGCTATCTTCATTAACCTACCACTGAAAGGCGATCAGATTATGCAGTTGACAGCTAGCTCAAAGACTTCGGTCAGCTATCAAACGCACATTCTACGCCGCCACATCTCTTTTTCTCACTTGCCGAACATTTTCAATCCCTATACCTACGATTAAAGGAAGGAATTCTGTGGACTCTACTTCAAAAAACTGTATCTACAAGTTTACCTGCACCTATATAGGTAGAACTAACAGAATGTTCCAATGTCGTCGAAAAGAACATGTTCCAAAATGGCTACTAAATCATATAGAAAATCCTAACGCGACTAATCTTAATAGAAATCCAGCATTATCCATTGCTAAACACTTATTAATGTCTGGTCACAAAATCAATATTAATGACTGTTTCACAATTATTTCACCCCATAACTCTAATTCAGCGTTAGTTATTGAAGGTGATGGGAGTATTTTAGGGATTAATCACATACAGCCTAAACTGTGTGTACAAAAAACAATAGACCTCAATCTTCGCCCTACCCTGGACTACATGACCTATCTAAATATGATTGGTCATTAGTATGTACTTTTGTTTTTATTTAGCTGAGTAATTTTCATGAACTCTATTTTATCATTGTTAACCATGTTAGTTGTAAAGCGGTTGTAAAGAAACTACGAAATGATATTATCTCGCGAAATTTGTCTTCTTAATGCCTTGTTCAAATTTATCAAAGGGACTAATTGTTTTAATTATACTATTCACTGGAATACTATAATATTATTATTTATTTATATATCAATGCGTATATAAATTTGCTTTCATATTTTTCTTCACTCTAATATAAACCTTTTCTACCACCATTAAAAGAAACAAGACAGATTAAATTAAATCTTCACGTAAGTTCATTCACTGTTTGGTGTGTGTATGTGTATATATTATTATTATTTCACCATCTGTGAAGCTGAATTAACATTCGTTTATGTCTACCAATGGGTGCCTCCTTGTCTCCCTCTCTCTCTCTCTTTCTTTCTTTTCTTTCTTTTTTTCTTCAATGGTCTTGGATGTATTTACACCTCCTCCTGAGTTCGTGTATCTTTATTTACACGTGTGTGTGTGTGTAGGTGTGTGTGTGCGTGCATAAATATTCTTACATGATTGATTCTACATGAATTTAATTAGTGGAATTTGAAGATGAATTTGATCTGAAAACACAGTTTGATATATTTGTGTAAAACATATTTTGTAGTTAAGCTGCCTTTTTCTTTATTTAGTCTAATTTATTCTATGATTATATAGTATAACTGAGAGTAGTGCTACAATTCGCTAACTAAGTCTGCTTTTCTTTGCGGTATAATCTATGATTTTTTGATTTTTTAATTAATTGATTTGATGAATAGATAGATTTGTGATTGAATTGTTCAAAATGTATTCAACAATTGCATACAGGTATATATGATATATACATAACAGCATTTTTACGTCTCCCCAGATGAAGCTTGTCTTCTATTAACTCTATTCAAATTGTTTTAGAAAGATTGAATGTTCCAAATTCTATATAACTTGAAAATGAAGGCGAAACAAATCTAGTTTCGCAAGTATTGGTTTGAATATCAATGAGACGCTCACTTGCGGCTGGCTCTATTCAGGTAGGTGAGAAGTGAGAAGTCGTGACCAGTAGGGTACAGCAGGTCGGGTGTGAGGACAAATACTCGCCGAAGACATTTGCTAGTGGTTGGGCTATGTCGTGAATTGGAAGAGGTTAGAATTCATGGACTGGCCATTGGATCACGTCCCAGTGGCTTGATGGTCTACGAACTCGCTAGCCTTGTAACCAGAAAGGTCCTAGGTTGGAACCCTGGAGTTGGGTGCGTACTGTTGAAGAGTCCCAAACTAAGACGAAACAATTGTCCAGTACTCCCAGCTGGTTTTCCAATGGTTCTCTAACTAACGTCAGCTCATGATGAAATTCTTTAACAAATCTAGTTTCTTTTCATAATAGAGATAGAACCTGGCATCTGTCCATGAATTTTTGACTACGGGGGATAATATAGACTATCTGGTTGTCGGGTGGTCGGGGTACTAAGATCCGATGGCTGAAGACTGGTGGTAATATGACTGAAAGTCATTTTCAGTGGTGCAGGTGTATTCATTCTTTAGAATCGCCCAAATCGATTAAATCCTTATTATTCTTCATATCACTGATGTTTCTTTAGTACATTTCGTTTTATTATGGTTCTTATAAATTTCGCTTTTTTTTCTCCTTCTCTAACTTTGTGTCCTATATCGGTTGTGGTGACTTGAACTGCTCCACGTCTGTGCAAAATTCTAGGTTGAAACTCATACAGTTTCTTTCAATTGTGTAGTTTTTAAAATACTAACTGATAGTTAACTAATAATGATATTGTTAGTGTTGCTTGTTTTATTTTTTATTTGACATTAATTGCTGTGATCCGTGTATACAGGGTTTTGTTTTCTTTTATTCAGTTTTTTTCTAAATGTTCCTTTCCGCTCCGAGTGTAAAATAGGGCTTCAAACTTGTGTTTCGAAGTTTCATTAGTGATGGTATGGTGGTGGCTAGTCTCTGCCTATTGGGCTTACTACCGAATAAGCTATATTTAGGTATGAGTCCACCGGAAATCGAACCCAAATCACGTCGGTGGGTTGATGAGCATGTATTTTATTTCATTAGGACTATACAAAACTACAGAAACTGATATTTTCATTAGTACTACTACCTCAAGGTTGATAATCCACTACGTCCAATTCTATGAGTGTGTCACCCTCCTACACATAAATTGGTAAAATGGTTAGCTGAGAGTTTATGCCCAGTACGCGACGAATTATGTAAGCCTACACTTGACCTTGTTGACTGTCTTGTAGATATGAACATAAAAGATAAGAAAATGTATTCTTTTTATGTTAATTTCTTGTTTACTAATGTACCACTGATTAGGACTGTTGATATTGTTTGTGACTCTAGATCTTCTAGTTGTTTTCATCCCCTTTCCCTTTAACTTATTTGAAAGATTTATTACTATTATGTAGTGACAACGTCTATTTCATGTTTGAAGATGAGCACTTTTTATATTTGGATGGTGTTAACATGGGGAGTCCATTAGGAACTTTACTAGCGGATATTTATATGTCTTATGTTAACAGCTTGTCCCCTGATTTAATTGCTAAAGTGTCCTTCTGCAGGAGATATGTAGAGGATATTATTTTCATATATGATGATCATAAAGATGCCAGTCGTCTATTGGATAGACTTAACTCCGAACAGAATCATACCTCCTACATGCAAGGAAGAAAGTCGCAACCAGCTTGGATTTTTAGACATACTTCTCAGTCGAAGAGATGATGGTTCCATAAGACGAACAATTTACAGGAACTCTACTTGGACAGGGCAGTACTTAAATTTTCACAGCTTCTGTCCACTCCAGTATAAGAGAGGCTTGGTGAAATCAGCTTATTAGTACTGATGATGTTATAGAGGAGGAAAATAACATAAGAATGGATACTCTTGTTGAAAAAGGATATCCTTTAAAATTTTGAAACAGGTGTATAAGTCAATTCGTCTTACAGCCCACAATCTATTCCCCTCCTGAGAAAAATTTCTTCATCGAATTACCACATAACGGGAAAATAGACAGAAGGATTTTGAAGCAGAGATTAAACTTGGTCATTCGTAGGGTCTATTATTCAACCCGGCTGGTAATCATTGAGAAAGCTAAAAATATGCTCCACTGCAAACCTCAGAAGTATACAAGTTATTATGTCGTATCCCACACTATTTGCCAAGTTACGTGTGTGGGGACACATACATCGCGCTTTGCATGTGTGGGTGGGAGAGCATATTCCGATGTGGTAGAAAATCAATAGATGTAGGTGGCAGACTACCAATTTCATCTGCAACCAAACATCTAATCGACATGATCCATCAGATTGGTGTTAATACAGCTTTTAAGGTCATCTATGAAAATGGTGAAGGGCGCTTGTTGAAATACACTGAGTTTATAGCTGTTCATAAACTTAACCCCGCTTCCCCTGCGTTTTCAAAAACAATTTATTATTACTCTTAACCTACCTTGCTAATCCTCGTCTAATTGGATAACCAAACGTTATGTTAATTATTATTCTTACATTTTTTGTCATTTTGTGTTCTTTAATTGCCCTTTTTACATATAAATGGATTTGACAAGTAAATGTGTGATCAGATTGTTCGAAATGTATTGTACAAATGAATGACACCACATTTTTCTGATAATCTCCGTCGTCTATTAAAGTTTAAAAATGGCAGAATACACGACAATTGAATTTCATTCATGAAATAGAATCTGTTTTATTGGTAAATAGTTTTAAAATATCCATAGAAATCATCCTGTAGTCTGTTGATAATAATACTATCAGTCAAACAAATTCCGCATCTTGAATAAACTCACCTTTTGTTTATTGTCTTTTCTCTTATACACTACAATAACCTTTACTAGATTCTACCATCATCGTATTACTTCAATATATGATGTGAAATACACTTTTTACAAATGTTATCTATTATTTAAAAGTCTTTCAATACAAACTCTTTACAAAAGAATAATGTTTTCACTTCTATTTTTTTATGCTTAGCTTACATCACTGTTTCGTCATAAAATCATTCTACTATATGCCTTAATTTAAATTAAGATTTGTAATAGAACATGCTGTGTGTTGCGTTCTATCTCCTGTGTGAAGTGGTATAATAAGGTGAGCAATATTGAGGTTAGGCCTCCGTTGAATGCTAGGTAAACAGGGGAAATCAATCGACGAAGTCGTGAAGTTACAAAGACTGAGATGGTTAGGACATGTGTTACGTATGCCTAGTCATCGCCTTCCTCGACGAGCAATGTTAGCGGATATAGGGTCAGGCTGGAAAAAAGATAGCTGAGGTCAAACAAAAACATGGCTTCATCAGTCAATGAAATCCACAACAGTTAGTTTAAGCCACATAGGAAGGTGTAGACTTCCGGGTTGGGGTCCTCGGGACGGTAAAAACCAATGGTTGCAAACAATTGGTGACATGGCTCAAAATCGTTCTCAGTGGCTCAGATGCATCCACTTCTTGTGACTTATGATCTCCAATGAAACTGTTTTGTTCTTCGTTATTACTCTTCCTTTGTCTAACACCTCTGCTTACTGTCTCTATTATGCATTTCTTGTACTTTCTTCTCTTGCTTTGTGTGCTGCAAGGAGGGAGTGTGGCGACTTGAACTGGCGCACATATTTGCAAAGTTCTATGTCGAAAACAGACAGACATGCTGTGTGTGTATGTGTTGTTTTGTTTGAATAACTTGTGAAAATTTATTCATCCATTGATTCATTCATTCATTCCATGAATAATTTTTTATTTTTCAGTTTTATTGCATAATTATGTGACACTCAGGTGATCGAATGATTAGCACATTTTAAAGCGTTTGTAGGATAATCAGTTATAATAATAATTATAACAATAACAATAATAATATTGTGAAGATGTTACTTTAAAATTTATCATGTCAGTTATTTCGTGTTCATTTCTTTG